TACGCCCTTCCCAATTTTGAACCATGCAGTGTTTCCTTGCTCTGTTCTGATGACTACCTCTTGGTCCAAGTATAGGTTTTGCATTAGAACAATCAAGTGTTCTGGGATTCCCATTCTTCTCAGAGTCAGCCACAGTTTGTTATGATCCACACAGTCAAACAAATGAGATTGCCACAGGATAATCAATGAAACACAGATAGACATTCTTCTGGTATTCCCTGCTTTCAGCTAAGATCCATCTAACATCAGCTATAATATCCCTAGTGCCCATCCCCTTCTAAACCCAGCCTGGACTTCTGGCACTTCTCTGCTGATGTGCTGTTACAGTTGTTTTTGGATAATCTTCAGTAGAGTCTTGCTTGCATGTGAAATCAATGACACTGTTCTGTAGTTTCCACACTCTGTTGGGTCACCTTTCTTTGGGATGGGAACAAATATAGTTCTCTTCCAGTCAGTTGGCCAAGGGGTTGTTCTCCAAAATTTTTGGCACAACTTGGTTAGCACATTCAGGGCAACATCTGTTATCTGAAATACTTCAATTGGTTTTCCATCTATTCCTTGGGCCTTATTAGTAGACAGGACAAAAGATTTTATTAATTTTCTTAGAGGCAAAAAAACTAGCCAAGAAAAAAAAATAGAACAGTGACATGGGACCAAGTTTAAGGTATGACTGGATGAATGTGTTTTGTCATGTTGAAGGATGGACAAGCTGCACGATCCCTCTAACACCCTCTTCCTCTTAGCTGAATTTTTGACAAATTTTGGTAAAGTGAGGTTATCATTCTATGGAGTTAGCACCTCACTGTAACACATTAATGCTGCCAGTTGCATTAGTCCTGTGCCTCTGGGCTGAGTAGGAAGTTCCCATCCAGTCATTGAATGGGAGCGACTTGACAATGAGCAAGCTTGGCCATCACCCCACTTTCCACCTCAGGTGAGGCAAGACTAATCAGTAACACACAGATTTTTTATGGCATTTGTTGCTTACCTTCTATCAGATTTTGAAAGCTAAAACTCCGAGTATCCTCTTTCTTCCCTATGAAATGTAGTCTTTTGTCAAAGCAACAAACACAAGTTTGAAAGCTACAGTGAACTCTAGGTATAGAGTGATAATATGCTTATGACTTTGAGGAGATTTCTTTTTGCATGGAAAGAGATATAAGAGTTAATTAGCTTCTTTTATAGCTTCATATTTAAAGCTTCTGTTTTTAAAACCTGTTTTGACTTAGATAGGCAACCTGTTTTGCAATTTATTTCTTTTTCTAAGGGTTCGGGCACCTGGATTTTTTTTTTTTGTTTTACTACATACCTTGGCTTTAGAGGAGCATAGCTACTTAAGCTCTTTTTTTTGTGGAAATTTCTTTAATTACTGACTGTTCAGGCCCTGTCAAGCTGTTATTTATAAAGTCTCTGACATTTTATTTAGGTAAGATGCACAGTTCAGGTTAAATGCAAAGGACTTTCATTTTGTCCAACTTAAAATGATATTCTTAAAATACTTCTGTATGCAGGCAGAGACTTTGTACTGTTAGTCTTCTAAATAGGGACTCAACAAATTGCTGTCCAGTTGAAACTCATTCATGGTTGGTCCTCCAGTGAATTTTCAGAGGCTGTAAAGCACACAACAGGAGATTGCTCATCTTTCTCCCATGAAGCAGCTGGTAGATTTGAAGCACATGCCTTTGAGTTGACAGCACAACTCGTTACTCACTAGATCCAATCGAGATTTGTTTTTTGCCTGATGACAAAATTCATCAGATGACAAGATTTGTTGTTTGTACATACTGTTGATTTGTACTTTTTGATTGTGTATCATGTTTTCACATTATCTGATACACATCAGGAGAAATATGAAGACACAAATGTTTTGAGTAGCTGTAGTCAGTCTGCGTTTAAAAACATATCTTTTGTGATTTGGTGATAGTGTACAAAATAGATTGGTTTTCTACTAGTTTTTCAACCATTCTTATATTTTTCTATTCTATAACACTGTTTATAATATCCACAATGTAAATGCACCCCTCCCACTCAGTATTTGTTGAATGAATGACTTTAGGTGTTGTGCCCTTAAAATGAGAACCTCAAAGATGAAATAAGGTAGTTTTCTATTTATCAAAACAGAGATTGGTAATGAATGCTAACTATTATTATTATTGCTACTATTATTATCAGATGGAGCTCTGGTGGTGGCCTAGTGGCAAGAAGCTGTCTTGCAATCCCACAGGCATGCAGTTCAAGGCCACCAGCTGCTCCAAGTAAGAAAGATGGGCAATCTCCTCCCATATGATTAACTGCCTCTGTTAACCCACTGGAGGGGTTATTGAATCAAAGGGGATCTCTCTGTAGTCAATTACCAATAAGACAGATGGATTGCAATATCATAAGCACTTTTTTACAGATCTGGGAGGACAGCAAGTTCTCTTTAAAAAGTGTCTCCTCCTCTGGGAGTGGTCATTATGTTTTTATACTAGGGATAGATACTAACTCTCTTAATACACTTTTGTTAGTAAAGTTACAGAATTTCTACATTTGAAAAGAGCACTTCATAAATAAGGACTAGTAATTCAGGCCAGGCACATTTTCCTTGCTGGCAAATTGGCAGATTAAGATACAATTTACATATGACTGGGAAAAATAACTTCAAAGTAGTAAATGAGAATCTAGGAAAGATATTTCCTCACCTGGTAAACAGACAGCTTAAACTATTTTACTTGGCTAAAGAAAGGAAACAAAGAATTCTAAGACAAAGTGACTAGTTTTGCAGGCTGGAGAAAACTGATGTCAGCTTTGTAACTATATAACTATAGTTTTATAACATAATATTTAGAGAATACTGAGCTTATTAATACCACAGTTCTGACTCTGTGGTACACAACAACAACAACAATTATTATTAGGGAGCTGTGGTAGCCTAATAACAAGAAGCTGTGCTGACATCTCAAAGGTACACAGTCAAATGCATCAAATGCTCTCTAGAAGGATTAACAATCTCTTCTCATGTGATTTAGAGCCTCTGAAAACTTGCTGGAAGGTCAGTTATGAGTCAGTTCCTACCTGACCATGCACAGCAACAACTATTATTATTTGTAATTCACTCTTCCCCCTTTTTTATATTTCCCAGGGCTTCTTTATCCTGGTGTTTGGAACTATCCTGGATCCTAAGGTACTGTGAGCTTTCTTTTTGAATTCTATGCATAATCACATTTGGCCCCAAATACTTATTTGTAAAGCCTATTCAGGAACAGTCTTTCTTAATAATTTGCCAGGCACATAACCAAAATATCGCTGCTTTTCACAATATAAGTAAAATCAATCACTTTCCAAACTCTTATGGGCTTTTTACTCATTAACATTTATCCGTAAGACAATTTTGGGTATTGACAACTTTTGATTTGTCACAAGCAGAAACTGAGAATCAGGGTGCTTAGTAACTTACCTAAGGTCTCAACAGGTACCCACCCTAATTAATTGTTGTAGAAATAAAATTTATTAAAGCTTGGGAAAAATCTTTGGGAGGGTCTCTTTCTGAGTTGGAGGCTTGGAGGCTTCACTTTAGGAAATAATTGCATATTCATGATACAGAACTCCAGGACACCATTTTCTCTCCCTTTTGCTCACCACAGATATAGCACAGCTGACCTGAGTGCTTAAGGTGGAATTCAACACCTAAAATATAATACTTTTAAAAGTATTATATTTTAGGGCATTATGTTTATTGTAAGAGTACAGAATGAGGGTTGCAGAGTGCATTATATTTGGGGTTGGGGGATGTGCGGGGAGATTGTGTACCAA